ACCCTGTCAGAATAATACTGTCCCTTGATGATTTGTTTGTTTTTCAAGACAGGGTTTCTCTGTGTAGCCCTGGCTGTCCCAGAACTCACCCTGTAGACCAGGCTGGCCTCAAACTTAGAGATCCTCCTGCCTCTGCCTCCTGAGGGATTTAAAGCATGTGCCACCACTGCCCATCCCCCCCTGATTTTTTTTTTTTTTTGAGACAGGCTTTCATGTAGCCCAGGCTGGCCTTGAACATGTTTTATAGCCCAGGATGGCTTTGAACTCCTGAATCTCCTACCCTCACCCCCCAAAGGCTAGCATTAAAGGTGCATGCTGCCATTCCCAGTTTATGTGGTGTCGGGAAATGGAGATTCGTACCTACTAGACAACCTCTCTGGCAACTGACCTACATTTCCAGGCTCCCAAGGACAGCGATGCCGCTTGTGAGTGTGACCAGAAGAGAGGCGGCGGGCAGGACATCAGCACTAGCAGATGTCATCGGCAGACAGGGGCGGACAGGCTCCACAGAGCTGCAGCAGGGGAGCGTGTGGCGAGGAAATAGTGAGAGCTTCTTCTGAAGGCCATTTCTCAGGTCTCACCGGCCCTCCTGTCAGTAGCCTTGTCCCCAGAGAAAGACACCCCCAACCCATGCCTGGCCTAAGTGCGGATTCAGTACTTGAAGCTTCATCTACCACCAAAAGGCCCAGAGATGGAGACAGGGACAGGCAACGGGTAAGGGAAAGAATCGGAAAAGGGGCTGGAGAGATGGTTCAGCCTTTAAGAGCACTTCTGCGTATGGTTCCCAAGGTTCACTTTAGGTCAGCTCACAACTCCAGCTCCAAGGAATCAATGGCCCTCTTCTGGACTCTGTCGGTACTGCACTCAGGTGCAGCGCCTTTTCATTTGTATTTTAATAAAGCTTGCCTGAAAATCAGAAAAGTAAAACAGCCACACTGGCCAATCTTAAAACCAGGTAACAACGACACACACCTTTAATCCCAGTAGCCACACTAGTTTGCCATAGAAACCAGGCGGTGGTGCGCGCCTTTAACCCCAGAACTAAAGAGGATTATAAAGCGGGAGGAGGGCTGGAGAGATGGCTCAGTGGTTAAGAGCATTGCCTGCTCTTCCAAAGGTCCTGAGTTCAATTCCCGGCAACCACATGGTGGCTCACAACCATCTGTAATGAGGTCTGGTGCCCTCTTCTGGCCTGCACCACATGGTGGCTCACAACCATCTGTAATGAGGTCTGGTGCCCTCTTCTGGTCTGCACGCATACACACAGACAGAATATTGTATACATAATAAATAAATAAATATTTTAAAAAAACGGGAGGAGATAGCCTCATCTGAGATCCCTCATTCTGAGATTCCTGGAGGCAGAATCATCATTTCGAATTGGGGTAGAGTTAAGAGCCAGGGGCTGGCTGTTTTTTATTTTTTTTAAATAATTATTTTATTTTATTTTTAGATTTATTTATTATATATACAGTGTTCTGCCCATATGTATCCCTGCAGGCCAGAAGAAGGCACCAGATCTCATTATAGATGGTTGTGAGCCACCAGGTGGTTGCCGGGAATTGAACTCAGGACCTCTGGAAGAGCAGCCAACACTCTTAACTGCTGAGCCATCTCTCCAGCCCCCTGTTTTGCTTTCCTGACCTTCAGGTTGAACCCCAATATTTCTGTCTCTGAGTTTTTATTAATCGTGCTTCATTCCTCCACTATACTCATAATTAAAACTCTAATCTTTTTTAGAAAATTGGAAGGGAACAAAATTCTGAGTCTGCCTCCTGTCCTGGGAACGGGGGTGGGGGAGGGGGGTGGCAGCAGCCAGGCACTGCCCTGTGTTGTGGTACCCCCTCGGTCTGTGTGCACTAAGCCTCAGGGTTTCCATCTGGAAAGTGGACACGCTGCCATCCTCCTCCTCCTAAGCCAAAAACGTGCTCGGCAGGGTGTGCAACAATGAGTCCCCTTTGTCCCTATGTCCCTGCCCACCCCCCCCCATGGAGGAACCTCACTGCTCGCAGAACAGTTCCAAGGGTGAACACAGGGCCCCTCCTGGTGGTGAAAGCAGGTACTGCATCCCTTCCCAGCAGAGCTCCCTTCAGGACACAGGCCACACCCGCTGCACCCATCACTGCTTCTGCAGAGTGAAGTGGCCCTTCATCCACTTCTTGATGACGGCAAATGTCACCCTCTTTGGAAGGTTTCACAACCCTCTCTACTTCGTCCCCCCCCCCTTTGCCAGATAGACTTTGAAATAATCTCAAAATTTGGATTTCTGCCTACATTTTCTAGACAGACAGACATGGGGAGAGCTAGAACATCTATCTGCCTGTCCCCTGCTTGGGAAACTCGCAGAGGCCAGGGCCAGTCTCACCAGTTTCCAGGGTGCTACTCCAGCTCTAGTCAGGCCCCACCTCAACTCTCCCCAAGGATGCTCTCCTGGGTGAGGAGATACGTGTACATCTTTTTCTGGATTTTCCAAAATATGAATTAAAAATTTTTGAGACTGGATCTCACTAGCTTTGGGAGACCTAGAGCATATTATGTAGACCAGGATGGCCTTGAGTTTTTTAAGAATTCTGCTTCCCAGGTCTGGCCTTACTGTTTTTGTATTTGTGTGTGTGTGCACATGTGCCCATGTGTGCTGAATGCTTTTAGCTCAGTATACATCTGGAGGCCGGAGGACACCTGTGTGCAGTGGCTTTTGGGATGAACTCACACACAAGGCTTGGAAGGAAGTGCCTTTACCCACGGAGCCATCTCCAGGGTCTTTTGTCTTAGACAGGGTTTCTCTGGGCAGCCTTGGCTGTTCTTGAACTCATTCTGTAGATCAGGCTGCACCTGGAACTCAAACTCAGATTCATGTGCCTGTCTCCCAAGGGCTGGGATTAAAGGTGTGTGCCACCACAGTCTGTTTTAAGGAAGTCTTGCTGTGTAGCCCAGGTTGGCCTGAAACTTGAGATCCTCCTCTATTGTACAGGTGTGAACAACCATTTACAGGTGGATTTTTTTAAGTGTGTGTGTGTTTATGAAATCTTTTCAGCGCTTTCAAATTCCCCAAGAAGTTGTTTTTTTTTTTTTTTTTGGTTTTTCGAGACAGGGTTTCTCTGTGGTTTTGGAGCCTGTCCTGGAACTAGCTCTGTAGACCAGGCTGGTCTCAAACTCAGAGATCCGCCTGCCTCTGCCTCCCGAGTGCTGGGATTAAAGGCATGCGCCACCACCACCCAGCCAAGTTTCTTGTTTGATGGCTTTCTCACAGTGATTTCTCCTGGAAAACCTTGGTCCACCCTTCCTGGGTGTCACCTCCACCCCATCTCACCCCAAGGCACTTTGACCACCTAGGTCTTTCTTTTTTTTTTTTTTAGTATATGTGCTGCCGAAGCGAGCACCCTAGGTCTTTCTTGATGAGGGCCCACTGACCTCATGTAGTCCTCTATCAAAGTCCTCCCCTTTAGACAGTGCAGCAGTGTGGCCTCACCTATCCCAGGCTAGGCCTTAAACTCATTATGAAGCTGACAGTAGCCTGGAACTCATGATCCTCCTGCCTCCACTTCTCAAGTACTGGAATTACAGGCATGAACCATTACACGCAACTGCTTTGTGCAGTACATTTCAGTACCTTTTGTGAATGTGTACACCCTATGTGTGTATCCCTGTGGATGTGTGCACCTGTGTATGTATCCCTGTGGATGTGTGCACCCCTATGTGTGTTTCCCTGGGGATGTGTGCCCACAGTGTTGACCTTGAGTCAGTTCCCTGAGGCAGTCTCTCACTAACCCTCGAAGTTTTGGATTTGGCTAGACTGGCTAGCTAATGAATCTGGGGATCTGTCTGTCTCTGGCCCCCACATCCCTGTTCCCAAGTTGGGGGTTATATATACCTATGCCATGAAGTGTGGTTCTTTTTTTTTTTTTTTTTTTTTTTTTTTTTGGTTTTTCGAGACAGGGTTTCTCTGTGGCTTTGGAGCCTGTCCTGGAACTAGCTCTGTAGACCAGGCTGGTCTCGAACTCACAGAGATCCGCCTGCCTCTGCCTCCCGAGTGCTGGAATTAAAGCCATCGCCCAGCCATGAAGTGTGGTTCTTGGAGTGCTAGGGACTTGAACTCAGGCTCATGTTCTTATGTGCCATGCACTTTACCGAGACACCCATTTTGTTGCTTCTGTCTTTTGAGACAGGGTGGGTTTCTCCATGTAGTCCTTGCTCTATAGACCAGGCCTCAAACTCTAGAATCCCCGCAGCTTCTGCCTCCTGAGTTCTAGGATTAAAGGTGTATGCTACCACTTGCCTCTACTGGACATTTTAAAACTTTCGTGTCCCTTGTCCAGGAAGCCATGTAAACCTGTGCTTGGAATTTCACAGACAACTTATCTATCTCTGAGCCCAACTCGCCTTAGGAGAGAAAGCCCCACAGCATGAAGGAAGGGCCTCAGGGGATGACTAGTTGTTAGACTCTGAAAAGTATCATGAGATGAGGACTCACCTGTACAGACTGGAGACCTCTCTGCCTTCTGCACTATGGTTTTATCTATCTCTACTCCTTCGAGGCTGCTTCTGCTGTAAGCTCAATCCTCTTAACCGGGGTTATGTTGCTGAAGTTTGAGTTGCCTAGGCAGGCCCTGAATTCATTACGCAGCCACGGATGACTCTGAGTCCCTGGTCCTACCGTCCTTGCTTCCCAATGCTGAGTTAACCTGTGTGGAATTTGGTCCCTTCCTAGAAAGCCCTGTCTCTGCAGTGGATGAGACTCCAGGACACACCAGCCTTAAGCCTTGCCCACACCCCTTGCTTGGAAGTACCTGTTCTATGTTCTGATCAAGGGCAGCAGGCACCTCTTCAACCCTGAACCCTGGGGTCTCAGTCTGGGGGTTACAATCTGTAATGAGAATTTTCACATTCTTTGGGGGCTACTTTTATTTGTGGTAATTACAGGGGCAGAGCACCAACTCCCAGGACAATAGTCATGCCCCCTGACAAGTGTCTCCCGGCAACAAGACTCAAGACCACCCAAATGACAAAAGTTACATTTAATTTACAATGTAATAAAGGTTACAGGTAAAAAGCTACACTTAAAGCAGAAAAGGCCCTATTACACAAATGTACAAATCTGTACAAAGCTCATACAATGGTTCCTACCTTGTCTCCTGTTAGCCAGGTCTAGCTTGGAGCTCTGAATAACCAGAACGCTCCACTTGGGAAGGGGGATTTCAGGGTGGAGCCTCCAAACCAAGAGCTGGGCACTGTCCTCCTGATACAAACCTGGCCCTTGCAAAGTACAGTCTTTTCCTGTTCATCGTGAGCCACCCTAACTGGTCATAGTCTTAAGAAACTGCCTCATGGCACACAAAAGTTGATGCCACAGGAGGGCAGCACAGGAACTAAATGCCAACTAGCAAGTGGAGTGTTCCGAGTGGACAAGGAAAACAGGTCAAATCCAACAATACCGTAAAAACCCATAAACCTGTGCCCATGACACTGGCCACAGACAAAGAGAACTCAATGGTCTCACTCCAGCAGGAAGGACAGAGGAGAAAGGCCTAATTACTGGACCTCAAAACCATGGACCTAAGAGAACACTTGAGTTTACACCTTGGTTTAATAAATGAAGAATGCCAACCAACCTGGGATCCATGGCAACCATTTTGCTACCTGGGACTCACAAGGGAAATGAATTTAAATGAGGCTACCTCCTCCTCCACAGCTCTGGATTCCACCTGGCCCTGTGTGCCGAAAACGGCCCTAGGTAGAGGCGGAGGGAGAGCACCAGGGCAGTCTGCTTAGGGCCCGGGGAACCTTCTCCACACTTCCGTGTTCTGACTCAGGTCTCTAACTGGTACTTCAGCCCCACCCCTAGTCTCAATATTACGAATCAGGGGCCCAGGAGACTTTCTGAAAGACGATACCGCACACACAGAAAGTTTCCTCCCTAGTTCATTAGCCCCTTTGCCAGCCTCCACCCATCCCACCCATCCCACCCGCTCCATAGCCAAAAATATCAAATCAGTAAGGAAGGTGTGGGCTTCTTGCCAGGCCAAGCCTCCTTTGCGTATTTCTTCTTCTTGGGTTCGTTTACAGCTTCAGGGTTATAGACTGCAGGGTTTGGTGTGGGGTTTATGGTCACTGCCGACGGCACAACAGGAGTCAAGTCCACATCAGGGGCAAGGTTCGGGTATGGCATGGGCAAGCCACCGATGAGTGCTGTCCCATGGATGCCATGAGGTTGGGAGCCTGTTTCATTATGTGTGGGGGGCAGGCCCCCGTATAGTCCTCCACTGAAGGCAAAGTTCTGTATGCGCCTGCTTCCTGTCTCCTCCAGGCCCAGGGAGCCAGAGCCCTCCATCCGTTTCTTCTGTGGTTTGCCATAGGAGAGGGGAAAAAACAGAAAGGAGATATGAGGTGAAGCCCTAATTTCTTTCCATTCTAGCCTTAGAAAGCTAACACTTGGGAAAAGTTCCACTTTGTAGCCCATTGTTCCTGAACTCTCTCTCAGAGTCTGATACCAGCTAAGCAATGGCTCTTTTTATGTCTTTTGAGACAAGTGTCTCTCTTACACAGTCCTGAAATTTTTTTGGGACAGGGTTTCTCTGTGTAGCTTTGGCTGTCCTAGAACTCACTCTGGAGACCAGGCTGGCCTCAAACTTGAGAGATCCACCTGCCTCTGCCTTCCAAGTGCTGAAATTAAAGGCGTGCATCACCACTACCAGCTAACAGCAATGCTTGGTTATCCAAATCAAGCTGAGAGAGAGGACACTGCTGTGTTACCAAAGCCACCTGTACCTTCAGCTCTAGGGAACCCTACACCTGCGACCTCCAAGGGTACACACCCACTAATGTGCACATTCCCACATAGAAACATACACACAACTCACAATAAAATGAGCAAATGACTACCCCCTGTTTTGGATTTTCAACAAAGGGTTTCTCTGTGTAGTCTTGGCTCTCCTGGAACTCACTTTATAAACCAAGCTGGCCTCAAACTCAAAGAGATCCACCTGCCTCTGCCTCCCACGAGCCAGGGTGTGTACTACCAGAATTGACTAGGATCATTCTTTATTTGAAGGGCAAAACCCATCCTCTCTTAGGTTGATGCTAAGTAAGAAATTAAAGTGATAATTTGCTTATTTTGGGGGCAGGGGACATAAAAAGTGCTAAGTCCATGTTGGGTGCCCAGTTCCTTTGGAAACTTATTTCTAAGATGTAGGGCAGAGGCTCACTGTTACCGTACAGCAGAGCCTGTTCACAGTCACCCAGCTAATCAGTTCTGACTCCAACTAGGGCTGGTTTACTTCCCCTCAGGCAATGTGGTCTCTGCACCAAGGAAGACACCATGTTCACTCAACTGGCACTATGTACTATATATAGCTTTGAACTTCCGGACCAAAGCAATCCTCTTGCCTCAGCCTTCTAACTAGATGGGGACAACAAGCATGCACCACCCAGTTAGGTGCCCCCTTTTTTCTTTTGTTTGTTTGCTTTGTTTTTACAAGACAGGGTTTCTCTGTGTAGCTCTGTCTTGGAACTCACTCTACACCAGGTTGGCTGCAAACTTAAGAAATCTACCTGCCTACATTTTGAGTGCTGGGATTAAAGGTGTGCACCACCACACCTGCCTGGCCTTGAGTGCCCAATTTTTAAACAGTTCAAGAGTAATCAAATTTGGGTCAAGAATGTGTGTGGTTCACTAGGGACCTAGAGCCAAGGGGAGAAGACTAGTTTTAAAGGGTTGGGGAGCACCCTATCTCAAATGAGGTGGTGGTCAAACACACACACATCTGGGTGTCAAAACTCAAACTACAAATACAACTGTTGGGATAACAGACACGCACGCGCTACACCACAGTAACACCGACAGAGGCGCCTGTTGGCTCTATATGGTGACAGAGCATAGGGAAAGACGGAGAGAGGAGCTCAGGAGAGTGTAAGGGTTACGGCATCCTGCAGAGACTCTATCACACCGCACCTCTTATGTGAAACAGTTGCCCTGTCCAGGACTCTTGCTTGTTGTACCTAAAAATGAATTTATTAAGCCAGGTAGTGGTAGCAGCACACCTTTAATCCCAGCACTCAGGAGGTAGAGGCCAGCCTGGTAAACAAAGTGAGTTCCAGGCTGCAGAGAAACCCTGTCTCGTATCCCCTCCCCACATAAAGTGCACGTGTGAATGTCTGTCACAATACACTTATGGGAGCAGAGGACACCCTGCAGGAGCCAGTCCTCTCCTACCCTGTGGACACTAGGGTTTGAACTCAGGTCAGCAGGCTCGGTGTCAAGGACCTTTATCCATGGGCTATCTTGTCAGCTGTTTTTGATAAAGAATCTAAACGGAGCCAGGCTGGTGTTGAATTTGATTATGCAGCTGAGATGACTTTGAACTTTTTATTTTATTTATTTATTTCTAAAAATATTTATTTGTTTGTTTATTATGTATACAGTATTCTGTCTCTGTGTATGCCTGCAGGCCAGGAGAGGGCACCAGACCTCATTACAGATGGTTGTGAGCCACCATGTGGTTGCTGGGAATTGAACTCAGGACCTTTGGAAGATCAGGCAATGCTCTTAACCTCTGAGCCATCTCACCAGTCCCCCAAGAAGAATTCTTTAAACCTGGAAATCTCTCATTCTTGGGGCTTTCTCTCACTTCTCTTTCTCGTTTTTCTGTGGTAATTACTAACAAAGCCAGATGTTTTAAAATTACACAGATAAACAATCATCTATATAGGACAGTCCTTCCCCCCTTTTCTCTTCCTTTCTTCTTTTTTCTTTTTTTTGGGGGGGGGGTTGTTGTAGAGCTGGGGACCAGTCAGGACTCTGCTAAGCACATGCACTACAGCAGAGTTCTATCCTGAAGGTGGTTGAGCCCAGACTACTTAGTATTTCACACACTCTCAATAGGTGTTTCCTACCTTGACCGGGACCACTGCAGTCTGCACCATGTTCCGGAAGCGACCGACAGAGGGATCCACATCCTCTGCAAAATGATGTGAGAGCAGGGTTGGAAGAAAAAAGGATTCTGTACACCAAACCATCAGCTTGTTCAAACGGGAAAATACAGCTAAGCTAATACTACGTACTAACACGTTAAGCACGTAATACTAACGTGTTAAGTCTTCCCAACACCCCATGAGGCAGGGACTGCTGAACCACCTTGAGTAGGTAAGAAACAAACCAAGGTTTGGAAGAGACAATGCACTAGGCCGGTCCGGTTGCCCGAGACGGGAGGGGCCAGGACTTGAATCCAAGCAACCAGAACCAGGCCTGTGTGATGCACTGCCTTCCCAGAAGTTCTTTTCTTTCCTTTTCTATGTATTTCTCTTTTGAGGGCAGATAAAACAGCAGACCATTTTAGTGAAAAATGTAATGACAAGTGGCCATAACCACGTATACTGCCATGTCTGTTTACCAGCAAAGAACAGGTTTAGGGGTTCCCAACTCTCACTAGAGGGTCTGAGCAGCCTGTCAAAGAAGTTCCTTTTCTTGGCTTAAGACACACCCCACTACCCTACAGAGCTTCTGGGCTCACTCAAGAGAGGTACGGAACCCACTTTCAGTCACTCTTTCAGCTTCAAGCACTGGCTACCACGCAGAGAAGAGCGTGGTACTACCCTGCCTTTGAAGAATTCATACTACCAAACCACAGGCTGCAACACATCACAGGTGTATCTCTCTGAGTTCAAGGCTGGCCTACATACACTTCCAAGCCAGCTGGGGCTACACAGTGATACCCCGTCTGAAAATGGAAAACTCTGGATTTTCAGTTTTGCATAAGCGTGGATAAGTGTGTGAGTGCATGTGTCCATGGAGTACAGAAGACAACGTCAGATCCCTGGAGCTGCAGTTACATTTCCTAGTACCTACATCAGGTAGCTCACAACCACTTTAACTCAAATTCCAGGAGATTCAATGCCCTCTTCTGGCTTCTGCATGGACACGATACACATACAGCACATCTTTGTGTGCATATATATATGTACACAAGCGTGAGAGTGCACGCACACACCAAAACCCTGCCATGATGGTATGTGAGCTAGGTAGCCTAGCTTAATCAGTTTCTAGGTTGGTGAGAACAAACTCCTTGGGGCTGGAGAGAGCCTCAGTAAGCAGGTAAGCACTATGATGCCTTGCCTAACTAACACACTGCGTGGTAAGGCTCCAAGGTGCTGATTTCTGATTTCTTTTTTCAAGCTAACCTAAAACAAGCAGCACTTTGGTTTCCGTCCCTGGTACTGAAAACTATGAGGACCCCTGAGCAAGCTTCTCAGATTGGACATCTAGTCTGCCTGAGCATTTCCTTTAACACCACTGCTCTGGGAAGGATCCACTCCATGCACTATCAACATGTACCTGCCACTGGACAGATGCCCCAGGTTCGTCACAGGTCCCCCCTCTCCTAAAGGCTTTTCATTTAAGCACCTATATTTGCATAAATGTATGTATCTCTCTGTGTGCAGAAGTGTGCGTCTATGGAAGTCTTTTCTTCTAATACAGAGGTTCTGGTGACCAAACTCAAATGCAAATGCCTTTACCTAGCAAGCTATTTTACAGACGGAGGATTTCTTTTAATTGTTTTTATGTTTTTTTTGTTTGTTTGTTTGTTTTTTTCAAAACTAGCTTTGGAGCCTGTCCTGGAACTCACTCTGTAGACCACTCTGTAGACCAGCTCACAGAGATCCGCATGCTGCCTGGTTGTCTTTCTAAACATAACCCACAGGCTCTGGTTTTGTCCTACTGGAGCTGGGCTTCCCTTTGTTCCCTTATAGCCCCAGCATCCAGAGGATTCTACAGATGACTGAGAACCAGGACTCAGGAGCTCACCCAGGACTGCACAAGGGTGACTGTCCCAACCTTCTCTTACTGCAATTCTGAATTGCACTTGATGAGTCCCAATATACCCTGAACCCAGGCTGTTCTAATTGAAGGAAAACCCCCTAAGTCACTGGTCATTCCTAGCCCCACACCCCACCATGGGCTGTCAGTGGAGCAGAGGTCCCGTTTAAATAACTGATATTTTGAATTTGAATGTAGAACCTGCACAGCATCTGAACACACTAAGCATGTGCTGCCACTCGGCACCACCCATCTATCAGTCACTTGAAATACAACAAATGCTCAAAAAATGAGCAATGACCCAACAAACCGGCAAACTTAGGAGTCTGTGGTGGTCTGAATAAAAATTGGTCCCCATAGGTCCACAGGGAGTGGCACTAGTAGGAAGTTTGGCCTCGGTGGAGTAGGTGTGTCACTAGGGGGTGGGCTCTAAAAAGCTCAAGCCTGGTCAGTGTGTCACTGCTGCCTACGGTGAAGATGTAGAACTCTCAGCTACCTCTCCAGCACCTACCATGTCTGCCTGCATTCTTGGCATGCTTCCCGCCATGGCTGTAAGGGAGGAAGCCTCTGAACTGTAAGCCAGCCCCAGTTAAATGTTTTCCTTTATAAGGGTTGCCCTGCCATGGTGTCTCTGCACAGCAGAAGATCCTACGGCAGCACCCTTCCCTACAAACTGATGCCCTCACCTTGCTGTCATCTCCACACAGCCTGCAGGGGACAGAGAGGAGTTTCTAATTTAAGTAATGGTGGTAAGATGGCACTCCAACCTTAGAGCTACCAAACCCATTCAGAACTGGAGACAAGAATGCTGCTTTGAGTGAAGGTACCAAAAGTCATACCTCACTTAAACCTTCATGTACCATGACATACTGGGTGAGTAGAGAATGAGCTTGTTTATATACTATACAGTTCATAGCTGATCCTTTAGCCCCGTCTTTTACACGGTAACTAGATAATGCCTGGATGCCCACAGTACTGCGCTAGTGAACTGCAGAGATCGTCTCACGGAGAGCACCTTCTAGCTAATTTCAGTCAGGAACATCCCCAATGGCCACAGACTGAGACCTTAACCTTTCCATCAAAAGAAACTAGGGGGCTGCTGGAGAGATGGCTCAGCAGTTAAGAGACTGGCTGGCTACTCTTTCCAAAGGACCTGGGTTCAATTCCCAATTCCCAGCACTCACATGGCTGCTCATAATTGCCCATAACTCCAATTTCAGGGAATACGACACCTTCACACAGTCACACATGCAGGCAAATCATGAATGTACATGAAATAAAATAATTACTAAAAAAGAAGTTAGGGAGCACTCTTACCTGGGTTGATGATCTCATCGTCTTCACTGAAAGTCACCCGTGAGTTCTTCCTCTTCCTCTTTGGTCTCTGAATGTCCAGATTTCCCTCCTCAATAGTGAGAGTTGAAATCCGTTTGTTGTGGGCAGTGTTGAACTCTGTCAGGTTCTAAGCCAAGGTTCACACAGGAAAGGCTAGAATTAGCACATAGGAGTTTTGCAGAGAAAATACTAAATAAAAGGTGATAAAGCATCTGGGTCTTCCACTGACCTCCCAAGGCCAGCGAGACTGCCTTCTGCCCTCAGAGGATTCACACTGTCCTAATTACAACTATTAATAGAGAACACGGAGCATCCTCACTGACCATGGGAGAGTGCCATTTAAACGGAAGGGAAAGGCTGGGATGGTACAGGGTGCCTCTGAAATGAGGTATGGTGGTTTACTTTCCTTGTTTTGAAGGAGCGCTACCATGACTTTATGCCAAGAATTAAAAGAAATTTCCCTGGGAAGAATACTAAGATTTATTTTAAAGTAAACAAACAGAGAAAAAAAGACAACTAAACCTCAGTAGCTTCTTCTTTACAATCACGCTCCTCTTCTGTGTGTGTAGGGGGTCAGGGACACAGACAGACAAGATCTATGTATTCTAGGTTGTTCTCAAACTTCAAACAATCCTCCTGCCTCACCTCTGTGTGATGAAGTGCTGAAATCACAAGAATGAGTCATCATACCTGACTTTCTTTGTTAAAATTCTTAAGGACACCGGCAGTGCATTTAATTTTTGGCATTAACATCTTGCCAGTCTTCTTCCTGCACCTGGCCTCAGCTCTACTGACAATTACCCGTCCATCTATCTCATGATTAATTTGGCCTTAGCACTGCTTCCTGCTTCTTTTCACTTCACTGGACTTACTCTAACCTGTACTGCAGCCTGAGGTATTTCAAAAATTCACGGAGGACCTAACACACTGAACTGAAAGACAGAAACATACAAGAGCCTGGAGGGGAACAGACAAGAGTGACTAGCAAGCACCAAGGCCCCTAGACATGAGGTTACTTCATAAGAAAATGACTTCTCCATTGTTATTTCCCACTGTTTTTCTTCTGGAAGCTGGGAAGCTGCTGTAATGTATTGGAACAGTAAATGTACAGGGCCGGTTAAAACTGTATTTGTACCAGGCAGTGGTGGCACACACCTTTAATCCCAACACTTGGGAGACAGAGACAGGCGGATCTCTGTGAGTTCGAGACCAGCCTGGTCTATAAGAGCTAGTCCAGGACAGACTCCAAAGTCTGTCTCGAAACCCTGTCTCAAAAAAACAAAACCAACCAAACAAAAAACCCCATGTGAACAGACAAACCACAACACTATAGTAACAGACACATGAAATCACAAATTCCTGGGGTCAGTCTCTTGAAAACAGGCTGGAGATACAGATGGTTGTAGAGTGCTTAGCATGCACCCGGCCCTGAGCTTAATCCCCAGCACCAAAATAAAGTGAAAGATTGAAAAAAGAAAATTTTTATCACCTTGAAATTAAATTTTATAAAATGCTTGGCCATATAGGTATCCTTAACTATAAAAACAAAAATAGCCTTGTCTTTAATTTTTTTTAAATTTATTTTATTGTTTATCTTTATTTTATGTATGTGGATGTTTTACCTGTATGCATGTCTATGCACCACATGCATGCCCACAACTCTGCAACTGGAGTTACAGATGTTGTTAGACACCATGTGGGTGCTGAGAATCAACCAGGATCCTCTGGAACAATAAACAGCCTGTGAACTTAACCACTGAGCCATCTCTCCAGTCCAAAAGCAATCTAGTTCTTAAAGATTCCTGAGCTGTCTGGTCAGTACGAAAAGGGCCAAATGAACGCAAGTGTTGGCTTTGCTAAGTTAGTGTTGTTCAACAGAACTTTTTGTGATGACAGAGATTATAGTCTTCCATGTGTATACATGTATACAAGGTGTGTTTGTGTGTACATTCAAGGACTTCCCACGGATAGAAAAACATGCAGATTCTCAGGGGTCTACGCAGGCTCCCACAAACTTTCTATCAACTCTAGATCATACTTAATGAGACCCTTCAACTTTGTATAAAGTTATGTTGTTTACAGACTCATGACAGAGTTGACTGAATTCTAACCATGTTACCCAAGGTATGTTAAGACAGAATACATGAAATGTGGTTAGCGACTACTGCACTGGACAATGTAGCTCTATGCAGGCATAAGAACAGAGAAAACAGGGGCTGCAGTTATAGCTAAGCAATTAAGAGCACTGTCCACTCTTCCAGAAGACCTGTGTTGGATTCCTAGCACTCACATGGTAGCTCACATGGTAGCTCTGTAATTCCAGTTTCCTTGGGAGCCAACTCTATATTCTGAACTCAGTGGTATGCACACATGTGCAGGGAACCTGGTCACAGCGGGCCAAAAGCACTGTCAAGGGCTCACGACCACACTGAAAGAACCTCCTGCTACTGTCATTCTGAATTAGGAAGAATGGCTACACACTGCAAAAACAAGGGTCCCAAAGACAAAAAATAACAAGGAATTACATCAAGCTCGGTCTCCTCTTCTGGAAGTCCCAGCAAGCCCTTGAGTTCATCATCCTCTCCACCCATCTTCTCGTCTCCTTTAACAGCGGATGGCAACGTCTGAGGCTTCTCTCGCAGAGTGTACGCCCTTGTGGATGCACCAAATGAGACCGTGGAGTCAATGGGAATCTGTTGAGGCTTGTGAGGTTCCAACCGAATGTGACCCAAGAAAGTGCCATGAGCTGGGAATAACCACATCAGAAACGTAAGGAGAGAAGGAAAATGCAGCTAGTGTTCTTGAAGGAAAGCATCATCTTTGACTTTCTTAGGAAGTCAGCCCACCACTGACCTACTACCCGGGTCCTTGTTTTTTTTTAAATTATTTCTTTTTATTTTATATGTGTTGGTGATTTGCCTGTGTGTATGTCTATGTGAGGGTGTTCTGTCCCCTGGAACTAGAGTTACAGACACTTGGTAGCTGCCACGTGGTTGCTGGGAATTGAATCCACATCCTCTTGAAGAACAGCCAGGGCTCTTAACTGCTGAGCCATCTCTCCAGCCCCCAGCCCTTGGTTTTTGAGACAGGGTCTCACTATGTAGCTAGGGCTAGGTTTCAACTTTACTATGTAGTCAGTTTGGACTCAAGTGAATTATGTCAACCAAACTGACTTTGAATTCATAATTCTCCTGCCTCATCGAGTGCTGGGAACATAGACATGTGCCACTATGACTGCAGAAAGAAAACCTTTTCAAGATGAAGAAGTCATTGGGTTCACTCCACCCTGTCCTGGGTTAGGAAGCTCTGCCTCTCTTCAGTGGATCTCTCGCACACCTTTAAATCTGTTCATCTTCACAATGAACGCCACTGCCTGGTCTCTGATGCCAGAAAGGCTGGCTCCATTCTGGGTCCAACCTAGCAGAAGCCATGCTCAAGGCATGAGGCAAGCACTGATGTGATCTGCTCTCTCTGGCTACAACTCTAAGAACATGAAAACTGGTGGCATCGTGAGCTTTCCCCCAGCACAGGAGAGGAGCCAAATCCTACCAGAGTCTGAATTTTTCCATGGCAGCACTCTACATGCTATGAAATGGAAAGAAAAGATAAGTACTTCTAAGACAAAGCTCATGGAGTCCTTATGTAAGGAGACTGGGGAGATGTTTGTCTGTGGGTGCTCGGGTGGGTAGGAGGGTCAATCTGATGAGCAGAGAAGTACAACTTTGCACATTTTATTCTATTTATCATGGCAAACAAGCAGACTTTAGCAGTCTACACCATCCAGTCTCAACTGCATCTCTGTAGACTATTTAAAGCAAAGCTTAAAATCTTATTAATTACAGTGTAATTATGAAATTAAAATTGTTTTAATTCAGTTAAAGCAAAGTATACCTGGGATAAAGAACCTATTGTAAATAATAAAGGTTGCTCAAAACAAGTATTTTGTAAACATCCTACACTGCTGCATACCAGTGACACTATTCATGATTTCAGCTTCAGCTGATCAGAATTCACCAGTCTCACAAGCACTTCAACATCAGCACTCTGAGTTCCTTCATGCCATTTTTATTTTCTCCACTATCTTTTCTCCTCAGTCAATGATTTAAAAAAAAAAAAAATAAGAGAATCTCAGAAATAAAGAAGAACCGGATTAAAAAAAAAGTTTCCCAGCCCAAGACCTGGAACAGCATTTCAGTCCCCACAGGGAGTGGGGAAGGGGCGAGCACTTACTGCTGTTGAGATCTATCAAGAAAACTCTCTTCAGGTGCTTGTGGTAAACCAGGGCCGCGTGGACTCGAGAGCAAGACTGGTGATCGATGGTGAAGTCACACAAATCGGGGTTTCTCCCAAATAAGTAATACTTCTTCTCATCAATAATCAGTTTCTAAATAAATATGAAATTGCATTATTACTTCAGTCTTACTGCAACTAAGTTTAGCAGAAACTTCCAAACATCTAAGTGAAGGGTCTTGAATAGGTAAAACTTCCAGCAGTTGAGAAAAGCATCTCCCATTGTTAAGTCTAGGGTCTCATGAGATCAGTGCAGGGGCTTTCCCATGCAAGCTTCTGACTATCATAAGATCCAAACTGGGAACATCTTCCACAGGCACACTAGCTCCAAACTGGCCAGCATGCATTCTTCTCTCACTTTTAGCTAATATAAAAACATACTGACTAGGCAGTGGTGGCACACGCCTTTAATCCCATCATTTGGGAGGCAGAGGCAGTAAGATTGAGGCTAGTCTGATCTACAAAGAGTTTCGGACAGCTAGGGCAGTTACAGAGAGATTCTCTGTCTTGAAAAACAAACCAAAACAACCCAAAATAAAACACCCAAAGGTTCAGTGGTTAAGAGTACTGGTTATTCTTCCAGAGAATCTGGGTTCAATTCTCAGCACCCACATGGCAGCCTACAACTGCCTTTAACTCCAGGGGATCCCACATCTTCACAAAGACACTTGCAGGCAAAAGACCATTGTACAAAAAATAAAAATAAGTAAGTCATTAAAAAAAAACCCAACCAGAAAACATATTCCATTAGTTCATTCTGGTCCCTGGGGACATTATTCACCCACTCCATGATTGCCACTGAAATTCCAAACTATAGGCTTCTTCCCCAAGGTAAGGGACTCATTCAAGTTCAGCAAAAATGTCTTCAGGGCAGGACTGCCAGCTGAAGAATAGGGATCTGGGCTTTTGAGCAGCAAAAATAAATGTCTTTACCTATTTCTAAATACTTCTTTCAAGTCAGTGGCACAAACTTACCTCAAGAATGTTCTATGAGCCAGGAGGTGGTGGCACATGCCATTAATCCCAGTACTCAAGAGGCAGAGGCAGGTGGATCTCTGTGAGTTCAACGCCAGCCTGATCAACTGAGTGAGTTCCAGTACAGGTAAAGCTATAGAAAAAGCCTGTCTCGAACCCTCCACCCCTATGCTTTCCGTACAAGCCCACCTCTATGTACTCAAAGCAGTTTACTAGGCTAAGACTTTTTGACAGAGGATTACATTTCATCTTGCCAAACACAATTCTCCACAGTATAGAAGTGGTATGGAAAAAAAAAAAAAAACTGTTCTTAATTCTATTAGATGTAAGTGGCCTCTCCCTGTGAGATAAGAATTCTTGTATCCATTTTCTTTTTCAAATGTAACTCTGGGGACTGAAGAGATGGCTCAGTGATTAAGAGTAGTGACCGCTCTTCCAGAGGTAATGTGGGATTTCCTTCTGTATGCTGTGATTACCATTAATGAATAAAGAAACTGCTTTGGACCTATAGCAGGGCAGAACTTAGCTAGGTGGGGAAAACTAAGCTGAATGCTGGGAGAAATAAGGGTGGAGTCAGAGAAGCCCCCCACCCCCACCCCACAGACAGACGCTGGGAACTTTACCCAGTAAGCCACAGCCACATGGCAATATACAGATGAATAGAAATGGGTTAAATTAATATAAGAGTTAGTCAATAAGAAGCTACAGCTAACTGGCCAAACAGTGATTTAATTAATACAGTTTCTGTGTGATTATTTCGGGTCTAGGCTAGCTGGGTGGCCAGGAACCAACCAGCAACCTTTCTTCAATACAGAGGACCTAGGTTCAATTCCCAGCAACCACATGGCAGCTCACAGCTGGCTCTAACTTGAGTACCAGAGGACCCAACACCCTCACAAAGACATACATGCAGTCAAAACACTAATGCTCATAAAATAAAAATAAGTCTCTATATAGACTAGGCTAGCCTCAGACTCAGATCTCCTTGCCTTTATCTCCTAAGAATTGGGATTAAAGGTTTAAGACACCATATGTTGCTAAAACAAGAATTTTACTAAGGGCCAAAGTGATAGCTGAATGCCTTTAACACCAGCACTCAGGAGGCAGACAGGGGAGATCTCAAGAGTTGGAGGCCAGCCTGGATTATATAGTAAGCTCCAATACAGCCAAGGTCATTATATAGTAAAACCCTGTTTCAAAGGAGTAGAAATAAATAGGGTTGAAAAGATGACACGGGGGTTGAGAACACTGGCTGCTTTTACAGAGGACCAGATTTGGATGCCCAGAACCCACATGATGGCTCCTAACTCTAACTCCACTTCCAGGGAACGTGACTTCTGACCTCCACAGGCATCAGGCATGCACACAGCGCACATAAATGTAGGCAAAATACTCACATACATACAGCACAAATACCTTTTCCCTTATAAACAGATAGTTTGATCAGTAAATGAGTCAGAAGGGCAGAAAAAGGAAGTGCATCCTCTGAGCTGAATCACGCGCTACGGAAAGCTCAACTACTGTTGCAACTACGGTCTCAGGATGAAGGACACGGGAATTACTATTGATGCATTCTTATTTCTAGCCTGACACTAGTGGTCTAGTAATCTAGAATGAGTACTGGATGACCATCATTTAATATGCTGTCTTTTTCATTTAAATACAAGGTCTCATTACGTTCTGGAGCATTCCACCCTATATTCCTAAAATCTCCGAGATGCCAGGAATGGTAAAACCTATTACCTTAAAACTTCAAGCCAGGCAATGTGGGGTACACTTTTAATCCCAGCACCTGGGAGGCAGAGACAGGGATCCCCAAGTATGAGGCCAGCCTGGTCTACAGAGTTAGTTCCAGGTTAGTCAGGGCCACACAGAGAAATCCTGTATCAGAAAACAAAATTCAGAATAATCTTGGGCTGGAGAGATGGCTCAGAGGTTAAGAGCATTGCCTGTTCTTCCAAAGGTCCTGAATTCAATTCCCGGCAACCACATGGTGGCTCACAACCATCTGTAATGAGGTCTGGTGCCCTCTTCTGGCCTGCAGACATACACACAGAATATTGTATACATAATAAATAAATATATTTAAAAAAATTTCAGAATGATCTTGAACTTCTGACCCTCCTGCATCTACCTCCTAGGTGCTAAGATTACATACATATACCACAAACCCATTTAAATTTGAGCATTTAAAAATGCCAGCCATGTGGTAAATGCCTTCACTTCTAGGTAGAGGCAAGTCTCTGCGAGTTTCAGGCCAGAGCTACATAGTGGGACCCACCCTAAAAAAAGGTTATTTTTACTTTATGAGTTTGTGTGCAACATATGTCATGTGTGCAGGTGGAAGCCAGAAGAGGGCATTCATCCCTTAGATACAGATTTATAGGTGGTTGCAAGCTGCCCAACCTTAATATAAGTCATTGAACTCAAGTCCTTTGAAATGACAGAGATTCTCAATGGCTTGAGCCATCTCTCCAGATCCCAGTTTGAGCATTTAAAACCTAACCTCTACATTATATAATTTCCTTAATCCATTAGTATTAAAGTATAAACCAGCTATGAATGTTTTAAAGAGTAAATAAAGCTGGGAGGAAGGCAGAGGCAGGCAGATCCTTGTGAGTTAGAGGCCAAGCCTGGTCTACAGAATGAGTTCCAGGACAGCTAGGGCTACACAGATAAACCCTGTCTCAAAAATTTTCTTTTTCTTTAACCAGTTACTCAGTTTTTCCCAAGCTTAGCTTATGATTCAGTCAATTCAAGCTTGGATCTGTGGGTCACCTCTGGACAACTCCACCCAGCAGTGCCCACATGCTGCTGCTACTATGGGGCTCCAGATTTGGTAATGGCCAGCCTGACAATCAGTCACCCCACTGCTGCATTCTAAAACACAGATTAAAGTGCGTTGTGATCGTGTATACCTGTAACCCCAGTGGAGCATGATTAATAAAAACCCCGAGACAGAAATATTGGGGTTCAACCCAAAGGTCAGAAAAGCAAAACAGCCAGCCCCTGGCTCTTACCTTTACTTCAGTCCAAAAATGGCGATCCTGCCTCCAGGAATCTCAGAATGAGACTGTGAGAGCTGTCTCCTCCCATCCTCTCTAGTGCTGGGATTAAAGGCTTGCACCACTACCACAGGGTTTCTTTTTTTTTTTCTTTCTTTTTTTTTTTTTTAGTTTTTTGACACAGGGTTTCTCTGTGGTTTTGGAGCCTGTCCTGGAACTAGCTCTTGTAGACCAGGCTGGCCTCGAAATCACAGAGATTCACCTGCCTCTGCCTCCCAAGTGCTGGGATTAAAGGCGCTCGCCACCACCGCCCGGCTACCACAGGGTTTCTATGGCATGTTAGTATGGCTACTGGGATTAAAGGTGTGTGCTACCATTGCCTGGTCTGTAAGGCTGATCAGTGCAGCTGTTTTATTCTCTGAATTTCAGGCAAGCTTTATTTATTAAAATACAAATGAAACATCACTACATCCCAGCCTTAAGGAAGTAGAGGCAGGAGGATCACAATAGATCAAAGGCCAGCCTGGTCTACATAGTGAGTTCCAGGAAAAGTCATGGGGTAGCTCCTGGGACTTTGACTCAAAACCACACACACGCTGCCCCCTCCAGAATAAAAAAGTTACTATTAAGACAATGGAAGCCTTGTATAGTGGCTCCTGCCTAAACTCCCTGCGCTTTGGAGGCTGAGACAGGAGGACTACTATAGATTCAAGGTCTGCCTGGGCTACATAGTAAGTTCTAGAACTGCCTAAAAGACTATCTCAAAATGGTGATTGGGGAATACACTCATTATTCAGAGGCAGAGGCAGAGCTCTGTGAGTGTGAGGCTAGCCTGATCTACATAGTGAGTTACAAGCTGTAATGGAGAGTTCTGAAACATTAACACCGTCTTCTAAGGTAGCATTTATGAAGGTTGAATCTCACTGTATTTCTCACTCATATTTTTATGTATCAAGATTGTGTCCTCACTAACTTGTCTGCTAATAAACCAGTGTTCACAGTGGGTTACAAGCAATGATTCTAGGCTGCAAAAGACATTAGAGATTGAGTTGGGGGGGTTTCTCATATTACAGGCACACATTCACAATCAATAGCATACCAACCACAGAAATGTTAAAAGGGAATATTAATGAAAAACACTTCTTATAACTAAGAAAGTATGTTAAAAAGTGACTCAATCATGCAATGCTCTTGCTGTAATTTTTGGCTAGCTATGGCTGACCACTATCCAGATGTGCCTCTGAGTTATAACTCAGAGTGTGTCTTTACACACTGGGCCTAAAAGACTCATGGCTTTTGCTTTAATATTGCACTTCTTCAACCCAACTACCACGATATATCACAAGCCTTGAAACAAGACTAGGATATAGATAGCTCGGTTAGTATCAAGTGCTGATCAAATCTAAATCCTTAAAATAAATACACCTAGGCTAAGGGGTACAGCTGAGCAGCAGAACACTGCCCAGAATGCACGAGGCCCTTGTCTAATCACTAACTAGCCTGGGAAAATACACACAGACACAGACACACACACACACACACACACACACATCTCAGGCCTATTCTTTTAATTGCTATATATGGATTATAATTTCACAATAGTGTGCAACTCAGCACATGTAGAACTGAAAGATAAGAACAATACCAGCAGATGGAGACCAATAATCATAGGGTGTTGAATAAGGTAAAGGCCCTTTGAAAGACTTAATTTATTATGTAGATCGTGTTCTGCCTGCATGTATGTCTGCATGAATTGGGCACCATATCTAACTATAAATGGTCGTGAGCCACCGTGTAGGTGCTGGGAATTGAACTCAGGACTTCTGGAAGAACCTCTGATGGTTAACTTCTGAACCATCTCTCCAGTCCCTTGCATGCTTATTTTTATTGCAAACTACAGATTTACTGAGTTTTAGTAACAAAATAAATCTTATCTTTTAATTTATTATTATTATTATTTCTCTGTTTCTGTGTATACTGGAGGAAACAGGCAGTGTAGGAGGTCAGAGGATAACTTTGTGTAGTTGGTTCTTTTCTTCCACATTTAGATGAGTTCCAGGGATCCAACTCAAGCTGTTGGGCTTGTATAGCAAGCCTTTTACATGTTGAGACAGCTCTCCAGCACACAAATCAGATTTCTGTCTTCAAATTTCACATTAGTCTACATAGCAACAAAAATTTTTCCTATGGAACCACCTGGAGTAAAAGAGGTTTCCAGATACTTTTAATTAAACTAGTTCCTAGAATATCCATTTGAGATGCCCCCTTCCATGAAAGATCTTTTCCATAAAAGAACTCAAAGGGGCTGTAGGAGACAGGCCATTTCTCCTGCTATGCCACCCCACCCCACTCCTAAGACTCCTCACTTTTCAAGCTAGCATCTGTATGTTTATTATATACACCAAGAAAAAAAGAATTACATTTAGAGCTGGGCAGTGGTGGCACACGCCTTTAATCACAGCACTCGGGAGGCAGAGGCAGGCGGATCTCTGTGAGTTCGAGCCAACCTGGTCTACGAGAGCTAGTTCCAGGACAGGCTCCAAAGCTACAGAGAAACCCTGCCTGGGGAGGGGGGGGGGATTACTTTTATTAACAGAGCTTTGAAACTAATGTCTAGTTATGAAACCAGTGGACTTACCTCTTTCTTGGTACATAACTATATATGTTAACACAAATAAGCCTGATATGATGACTCACACGATCCCAGCACTTGGGAGACTGGGGTAGGACTGACTACCTAAGACTCTGAAACCGGCCAGGGTACACAGTGAGTTCCAGGCCACTATGGGCTATAGGAGTGGAACTTTATCTCAAATACAGAAGAATAACATCCCAGTCCTTGAGAAGCAGAGGCAGGCGGATCTCTGTAAGTTCCAGGTCAACCAGTGCTACATAGCGAGGTCTTGTCTCAACACCAATCAAACAACAAAACCCTAATACAACCTAACAGCTAATCATTGCACTTCAGAGTTTGGTGTGATAGAGACTCTAAAAACCTGTGCAGAAGCTGTAATTCCAACAAAAATTTCCTTTATAGTATTTAACTATAATTTTATTTATGTGTCTGTGTGTCTGTGTGTGTGTGTGTGTGTGTGTGTAGAGAAAGAGAGAGAGAGAGATTGATTCTGTCTCTCTTGTTTTTTCTCAGTCAGGGACCCAATGTATAGTCCTTCAACTCCCAGAGACCTGCTTCTTTTGCCTCCCGAGTGCTGAGATTAAAGGTGTCTGCCAGCATACTTTGTTTCTACCCTTAGTTTTAAACGAACAGATTTCAGTTCCATTTCGTTTTCTTTTTTGACAAGTGCCCTACCTAACCATACCATCCCAAAGGAACTAACCCTTAATCTCATAGAAGCAGCTTCAATTTTAAACTCAATTTATATCATAAATTTCCTCAGTTATTGTAAACTATGTATCCCAGTTTGTCTGGGCCCTGCAGGCCCATGACCTGTTAAAAGCTATCTCCATTTGCAAGGTGAGAGAAATAATGAAACACTGAGTGTCGTGGGAGAGGAGAGTGTTGAGTGCTGCAGACGGAATCTAAAAAGGTTGTTCAAACGTTAGACAGCCACTCTATCACATACACACCCCCAGTCCCATGAGCTTTCAACAGGGGACCAAAGAACAACCCCCCCCCCCCAAAAAAAAAAAAGCAAGCAAACAAACAAACCAAGCTGGTGTGGTGGCACGCACTTAATCATAGCACTGGGTGGCAGGGACAGGCAAATCTCTGTGAGTTCAAGGCCAGCCTGGTCTACATAGGGAGCTCCAGGACAGCCAGGACTACAGAAAGACCCTGTCTTAAAACAAACAAAAATCCTTAAAAAACAAAAACAAAGAAGAAAATAGCATTGCTGAAAACAAGCAAAGGAGAAGGGTGGGAAAGTGAGTCACTGGTGAAAACCTCTAGAACGGGGGTGTATTTCAATACCTCGATTAGCTTGTCTCCTTTCACTACATCCAGATGCAAGCCAGGTGGGGGCTTGCCTGCCCTGGAAGAGAAGAGGAAAAAGAAGCATTTTTCAGGATGAGTCCATAAATGCCTTTTACTGTCCCTACCCCATTCAACATCGTGGCTTTCCTGCCAGCCTATAATTAGCTCGTGTTCGAACAGAAGTGTCACGTACTTCACTGTGAGATCTTCTTTCTACCTTTGACACTTTCTTCCCAAGTGATTCAATTGTTCCAGAGGAGATTTTGGTGGATCTGAATTTAGAGCAGACCCCCCCCCCCCCAAAAAAAAAAACCCCGCTGCATTTTAACACTGGCTATGTATGCACTTCAGAGAGAAAGCAGCTCAGGGTATAAGTATGTCTCTTCACCTAGAGAGGGTTCTTCTTTTTGCTTTTTTTTTTGAGGCAGGGTCTCATATATCCCAGGCTAGCCTCAAACCCTAGTGGGTTTGTAGCTGAGAATGACCTTGAACATCTGAGCCTCCTACCTTCACCTTCTCTGTGCTGGGATTAGGGCATACACCACTATGCCTGGTTTAACCTGGGGTTTTACTCTAATGAAGACAGAATACACCAGGTGTTTTGCTGGGCACAGAAGCACACATCTGAATTCCCATCAGGAGGATCACTAAGTTCAAGGCCATCCTAGTTTATATAGCAAGTTCCAGACCAGCCAGGATCTTGCCCCCAAATAAACAAATATTAAACCAACCAAACAATAACAAAAATTAGTTTGGGGACTGATCGATATTAGTCTCACCACAAAACTAAGCAGAATCTATTGCCCCATGAACTCTTGAGACCAAATCAGATGTGTAATTGGGGAACTAGGGCAAATCAAACTCATGCCCCCTAAATCAAGTATCTTGAACAGGTCTTTCTACAAAAACACAACCGAACTTTTCTCTATACTTCGCTTTATTATCCAAAGGGGATGTGTGCATGTCAAGTCACCTGACAATTAATGACAGGTGATCTCAAAGAGTCTCTTTATATTTGGCTGGCCCAAATTTGAAATCAGTGCAGCCAGGGACCGGTGTGGATAAAGAATTTGTAGGCTGAAGCAAATGGATATGTTTTTTTTTTTTTTTTTTTAAGGCTTAAAGAAATCCAGAAAACAGCCAAACATTCATTTGCTTCCAGGGCCCTTACATTTGCACAGAAGAAACATACCGTGTCTGTCTAATTGAAGATTCCACAGTCATCTCACGGTTCTGCTCCAACATTTTATGGCACTAGCTGAAAGGGCAGTGCTTTGGACAAAAGCCCATTTTGTTCGAGAAACAGGTTACAATGAACATTAAAGCCAAAATGTATTTTCTGGATATCCTATGATGTACGTGACTCGGGCCTAGGAGCTGAGAAGGACGCGTGGGTTTTGCCCTTGAAGGTCTCAATGTAACAGAAGACCGACAAGTAACATGTTAACAACCGCGAGGAGCCGCAACAGCAGAAAGGGCTCTAACTCGGGGGGCATCCTCATGCAAAGCAATGCGTATTTATCCATCCTGCACCCTACTCAAAGCTTAAACAACCTTACTACTCCTATGTACTTCCCGAGGGATGAAAAGGATGTATTCCAGCAACTCCTGGTGTCTTTTGTACCGACCTTCGTGCTGGTCTGGTCACCGAGAACAAGGGGCTAGTTCCGCGCCATCCCTGCCCTCGGGGAGCTCCCAGTCCGCGGGAGGAGGGTCAGCACCGCCTTGAGGATGCAGCAGCCACGGAGGGATGCAGCATCAGGTCGGGCCCGGCTAGGGAAGCCTGCTCGTGCGCGCCCGGGACGTTCACCACGGGGCCCAGGTATGATGCTCCGGGAGAGCACCAGGCTCTCAATGAGTTGGGGCAAGTTAGGAGCCAAGGCCTGAAGCACCTCGGAGAGCGGCTGATCTCCCAAGGGCTGCCTCAAGTGAATGCCTTCGAGCCCCCCAACCTCGGGCTTCTTCGGAGCCTGGGCCCCGGTTCCTCCACACGTCGCCCGGCCCCTCGCAGCGGACAGTTTTCCCTCAATCATTCCAGGCTCCTTTGGAGCCGTTCGTTTCGTCTCAGAAAAAAAAAAGAAACAAACAAACAAAAAAACCCAGCCTCCCTTCCTGCCCCGGTTAGCCCACGCCAGGCCGCTCCAGCCCCAGCAGCCCCGACACTCACCAAGTCGGGCAGTCGAACAGTGGGAGGCTGGAGCCGGAGTTCGCGGCTGCCGCCATCTTGCGTCTCCCCCTCCCATTTGGCGGGCCCGAAGCACGCCGGGAAACTGGGAGGCCGAAAGGGAAGAGGCGGCCTCCCAGCAGCCTGTGCGCACGCACGCACGCACTCACGCACAACGCAAGCGCGCTCTCGGGGGCGCCTCTGGTGGTGATTTTTATTTTGAAGTGTGCGCCCTGTGCTGGGTTCTCTTTGGTCTCTGGGTCTGAAGCGGCTTGTCGGTTTCCCGCCCGCTTCTCCTCCAAAAGCTTTTGAGCTCTGCAATCTGCATTAACTCTCAGCACCCAGCCTTTCGCGCTTCCAGAAGCTAGAGATAAGCAAGTGATCGCTAGAGAGAGAAGTGATTGCTCATTCCGTTTTTGTTCCAGCCCTCCTCCGGAAAGCTGCATCCAAAAGCCGCATCCTTACTCATTTGTCCTTTCTCATCCAAGTCCGGAGTGTTATAGCTCAATGGTAAGAATGCTCAACATGCACTAATGAGGTCACTGGTTCACTCTCCAGCACCAGTAGTTTCTGAGGCTTGAGGGCATCATTAGGTTACTAGGAGTCTGTGTCAGAGATTATGTAGGCTGTTTATGAAAACTTTGGACAAAGTGCAGCCAGGCGCAGGCCCATACAGTAAAAGATGTTCTAAGTTTCATTGGGCATAGGTCAAATGGTTAATAAAAGCCCCTTAGGATTTTTCTACTTGGGTCATAGTGACTATACTATACAAGGAAGCATTAGTGTTGCCATCTTCCTCTAAGCCCCTCCCTTGCTGGTTGTAATGGCTTTGTCTTTTGAGTGCTAACGGAAAGTATATATTTCATATGGTCGTCGCACATGGTATTATTTCCAATATTCAAGATGCACTGATTCCAGGAGAGGCTGAGTGCGCTATCCAGCCTCACGCTAAAACAAGGATGGGATTCAAACCTGAGTCTACATAAAGTCAAAGGCCAGGCTGTCACTATTCTCATGGGTTCCTCACAGACGTACATTGCTAGTATGCAGCCGATGTCCCTTTTACACTTCCGCAGAAACCTGGCATGATGACCTGGCAGTTTTCTTTTAGGAAACAAATTTTGGAAGGGTGTGGTAGCACGTGCCTGAAATCCCAGCACTAAGGGAGGTAGAAGTAGCACGATTAGGAATTCCAGAAGACAGACTCAGCTACACAGTCTAAGCTTCTTGAGATCCTATCTCAAAAATTCTGGAGAATTATTTATTAAGAAAAGGACTGCTAGACAGTTAAAAAAAATTAAATAAACCTATTTAAGAGACTTTCCTCTGGATCAGTCTCCAAGTTTCAAGATGTAACTGCAATGTTACATCAAGCTGGATTTAAAAAAAAAAATTTATTATATGTATATGAGTGCTCTATCTCCATGTATATCTTTATGCCAGAAGAGGGCATCAGATCCTATTACAGATGGCAGTGAGCCACCATGTGGTTCTTGTGAATGGAACTCAGGTCCTCTGGAAGAGCAGCCAGTGCTTGAGGTCAAGTTTGGAATTGGGATTTTCCCCCCTATCAGCTCGGTCTTTGGGTCACAAAGCAGAATGGGGGTATTAATAATTTTTTTTTGTATTTCATTTTGTCTTACTTTACTTTTTGAGACAGGGTCTCTCTACATAGTCCTACCTATCCTGACTTGGGGCCTGGAGAGGTGGCTCAGTGGTTAAGAGCACTGGCTGCTCTTCCAGAGGACCTGGATGCGACTTGAGCTGTACAGTCTGCACTAAGTGACCAAAAGCAGAAGCTTCGTTCCCACGACTAGGGCAGTCTCTGAAGGGAAAATAAAAGACAAACAAAATAGTGGAATGCGAGGGGCTCAGTGATTTATTTTGCAGACTGAATGGTAATTTAGCTTCTTTTCCTTCCTTAAAAAAACAAAACACACACATACACACACACACTGACAAAACAAAAACAGGGTCTTTCTATGTAGCCCTGCTGAATAGGCCAGGACAGCCTTGAATTCATGGTCATCCATCTGCTTCGGTGTCCTAGCATTCATTTCCTATATTACCATGCCTGCCTGGTAACTTCACTTTGATGTCTCTGTCCAATGGTACAAAGCAGTACAAGTTTATCACAGACTGCACACTGAGTGGTTGACACTCTCCAAAGTCTTATGTGCATGTGGGTATGCACACATGGACACATATGCCTGCACCCCTGCTCTGAGAGCACCAGTCTAATATTTATCAAATTCTTATTGTGAAACATTACCAATGAGGTGGCCAGAATACTTTTATTTACTCCATGTAGCACTAAGAGACTACTAGAGGGGCTGAAAAGTTGGCTCAGCAGTTAAGAGTGTTTCCTGCTTATGTAGAGAATCAAGGTTCCGTTCTTAGCACCCATATGGTGGCTCACAATCGTCTGTAACATCAGTTCCAGAGATCTGACCCTTGCTCTAAACTCTAAGGGTACCATCATGCACATGGTACACAGCCATACATGCAGGCAAAACATTCATATACATAACATTTATTTTTCTTTTTAAGAAAGTGTCAGAGTACCCAGCAATCCTAGAACATTCCAATTTCAATACAGGAAGCTGAACAGGAGGTGCAAAATGGAAAGGAATACAGGAATAAATCTGTAAATTGTATGTTCAGACTATACATCTGTTGTCTTAAGGATTTTATAGTGAAAAAGAAGACTGGACTGATCACTCAGTCCCCACCCAAGCCCACATCCAGTGCTTTGAATTGGCCCACCCCAACATCTACCCCATCTATGACCTGTTGAAACTCGTGAAGAGACTTGTCCTGTGGAACCATAGCCAAAGGATCTCCATGACTCTGGGCAACATCAGGATATCTGAGAGGACTTTAGGTGGGGGTCCAGTGTTGATGGTGTACCAAAAGCCAGACGGCTTGAACCAGACCAACAACTCATTACAATGAACATTTGCAAGTGAAGCTGTTTGGACAAAAGGGTCAATAGCATGCCACATCACAGCTCTTGATGCCACTAAGATGAACAAAGATGATGGAGAGACAGGAAAGACAGAGGAGTGACGTATTTTATTGTTGCTGTTTGTTTTGAATTTATTTTATCTCTTAATTTTCTTTTGGGTGGGGGACACTAAGGGTGACGAGTAGATATGGAGGGAATAGGAAGTGAGTGGGTTGGGGGGTGTTGTAAAATTCCCAAAGAATCAATAAATTACGATTTTTAAAAATAGAGCAGTTGAGAAAACATGGGGCTTATGGGCTAGGCGATGTGTCTAAATACCGTCAGCAAGTTACTGGTGGGGAATTCTTCAGGTCTTTCCCGCCCCACTCTAGTTTTGGACTTGCAAACAGTGGTTCTCTCCCTGGCTACACACAGTATACATGTGGAGCTTTAACAGATTCCTGCGCCTAGGAAATATACCAAACTAATGAAAGCGGAATCTCTGGTAGGGGGACCACAGCTTCGCCACCCTTTAACCATGGTGCCTCCAGAGATCATCAGGCACAAAGCAGGATTCTAGGAACAGGTTTATTAGAGCTTCTTGACAACTGCCACAAACTCTAGAGCAAGTTCCTATTTGTTCCCATGGCCGCCATGATAACCATCACTCAGTAGATAACACGGTATTATGGAATTACAGCAGCCACTTCATTGTTCCCAATAGTTTGCCACAATAGATCTCTTTTTTTTTATTTCTTGGACTGTCACAAATGATGTATCCAAGACCAGACTTGAGAACAGGGGCTTCTCTGCAGCTGCCATGTGGGTCACTGGTTATGCAGACAGCAGTCTTCTCTTCCTCTCCCTCTCTTTCTTAAACACAGAGCCTGATCTCAAATCTTCTAGGTACCCCAGCCTGGCCTTGAACTCATAACCTTCCTGTCTTGTCCCCTCAGGTTCTTGGATTAGAAGTATGTGCAAACCACAGTTTGCTCTCTGTCCTGGTTTTCACAGAAAGGCAGCAATGCCTGCTCCACTGCCGAGCTAATCCTTACCTGTTCTCGGTCTCCTTGCTGGGCTGCATCCTCATGGCAGCACGTTACCTACATCATTAGGACGTTAACTCAAAAAATAACTACAAAAGCTTTTAAATGTTTATTTGTATGAAGTAGGCGGGATGGTGCAAAAGTGCAAAGAAACTTACGCATTTGGGCCCTTATTTCCCTACCGATCACATTAGTGTAGAATAAGAATAAGTAACATTAAGAGGAATAGAAGAAATGAACATAAATATACCAACAGTAGCCAAGTCCTCCAATGCACTGAAGGATGAGCTGACGTTTTCGGCCTCGATTCACATTTATCTGAACGCCTAAACCAATTACACTCTCTCTACTGTTCTAGGCCTGTGAAAAAGGGCAGTGGACAACATTTATATTACAAGACAGCAACCTTTTATTAAAACTGTTTTTGTCTAAAACTATGCAGAGTTTGATCTCTTGTTCATAAATTAGGCTAAGTCTAACATCACTAAACCAGTATTATTTACAAAAATGAATCTTTTCTTTGCTTTATCAGTAGGTTCACAGACCTAAGTTTTAAACCCCACTTCAGTCTGAATTTTAAAATCTTGCCATCAAAGCCAGGTAACCCTTACCAGGCTTTGGTCAGCCTCTGACAGCAGCATTTATCACTCACCGGAATGTAAGCCACAAGTGAACGACAGGACAGAGTCATTCCAAACAACTCCCATCGGCTGCCAAAATCATGCTGTGCCTAATTCTCCCTTTCTGTGCAGACAGGCGGAAGAGGGCCCGACTGCTTATAACAGTGTTAATGAAACGAATCTTTTTACAACTGGAGTGGGTGACTTAGTGTGCGGGAATGGACTCTGTAAATGACACCAGCAGACAATGAAGTCAATTTAACTTAAACCCAGACTTTCATCCGCGCCCTGGCAATGGGCCCACTCTGACAGACAGGCTCTTTCCATTTCATCTGCAGTCACAGGTGCAGGGTTCTTATTCCCCAGTTACACATACTGCCAAAATCTTGCAAAACAGAGATCAGATCCCCCCGGAAACTCAAATCAAAATGTTAAATAAAAATTGCTGGCATATTGTACAGTTTCTCAGATCTCAATAGGCTGGCTCCGGAAGGAAATTTATCTCAAGATGCTCATAAAAAGGTAAAGTTTGTATATGTACAAAAAAACCCTAACATCATAAGACTGTAGTGTCACCTGTCAAAAAGAACATCCACAATGGAACTGTCAATAAACACTTGGGATACAGGGCAATCAAAATACAAGAGAAAGGAAACTACACATAGTTAATTCCTTATCTGAGAAATCAATAGGATGTATGCATAAATTGATAAATACTGTCTCCATGGGTCACTAATTCCAAGGACTAGTTAGTAGTTAGTTTCTAGCTAAATTATCACAGGACACTCTGGTTCACGCTCTCTTCTGTGGTCAGTTTGTTCTGGCAAGATTCCCTCGAGCACTTGCTCTTGAAAACAACTCGGCAGGAGAAGGCTCTGAGGCAAGCACACCTCACTTGGAAGCAAACCAGATAACCACTCCCAAGACCGTAAGAATTACTGACAGGACAAGCACGAGGATACACATCTTCTTGCGAGATTTTTTCTGAGGAAAGAAATATTTAAAGACACTCATGAAACAAGGAAAAATTTTTATACCTAAGATTCCAAGAGTGTATCATAATCTGCCTCCTTGAATTCATAATAACATTTTCCTATTTCCCTGCTGGGACTGAACCCAGGTCCTTGCACACACTAGGTATGTATGTGCTCTACTACCGAGCCACATCCCCAACCTATAATTAACTCTTACCATGCACAAATATGCAAACATCTTCCAAACCCCAAGCCATCAGTTCTCAGCAGTAGTACAAGTTAAATTGTTTGCACACACATTTTCACAGAGGAGCTACACCTCTGTTCTCGGAGTCATTGCTGATCTGGCTTGTCTCACACTGGCTAGCTTGCTCCTAGATTCCCCTCTACCGTCCATGGCTGGAATTACAAGGGTCTGAGGATTTGAAAGTCAGGACCACTGGGCCTTCTCCCTAGGCCCTGAGTATTATAGTAACTATTTTACACCTAGTACAAATAGGATGTTCACTGTAAAACATACAGGCAGTAGGAAAAAAGATTTTTTTCTTTAGATAAGACTGTTAACATGATTCTATTTCTTTCTGTTCTCTGGTGTTTTGTTTGTCTTTGAAATAGGGTCTTACTATGTAGGCTTGGCTGGCTGGAGCTCTCTCTACAGGCTATGTTAGCTTAATCTACAGAGATCTACTGCCTCTGCCTCTTGATGCTGGGTTAAAGGCTTGTGTTCCTTCTGCTCGCTCATCCATGCACACTGTTGGTTTGTTATATGTTTGTTATAACTGGATCATACATACTGTACGTTTGAAGTTTTTCTCATTTAACATTTAGCACAAACTCCTTTTCTGCTATAGCCTCACTAACCTCTCTTAATTCCCACATAACACAACACTGAGTAGAAGTGATTACTCAATTACTGCTGTAAACTAAAGTTATCACTTTTCAAGGAAATATTATTACAAAACAAAACTTCCTCAAGCATATTAACAGATAAAATACAGCCGCCCCAGAATAGCCCAGGAATACAGAAATGACTAAAATGCAAGCTACTTTTAAAGAGCCATGCAACACCAGATGAGAGAGAATAAGGACTTCCTTTTCCATAACTAAAACCTGAGTTGCAGACTCCGAGAAAGAGCTGGGTGCAGTGTCACATGACTTTAACCCCAGCACTTGGGAAGCTGAAGCAGGAGGATCTCTGCAAGTTCGAGGCCAGTCAGGACTACACAGTGAGACCCTAACTCATAAAACAAACAAGCAAACAAAAAATCCCAAAATGATTCATGAAGTCCTAAAGACAGAAGAATGCCCTTCATGGTTAAGCCTGTTTACAAAGAGCTGCCACAGTTGATTCTAAGCCGTCCATGCTCAGAACCAGCAGTCAGCGTAAGGTGTCTCTGAAGCTCCACTTTCCCTGTAGCTCTTACTCCCCCAACAACAGCCCAGATGTTTACGATGTAAGATTAGCATCATGCTAGATTTAGGCATCAAGCTAACTCATGAGACTAATTTTGCATTCACACAACTTCTGTATAAGTTATTCAAGCTTTGATAGTGTTGGTGCAAAGATAAATACTAAAAATGGGACTGGGGCTGCAAATTATGACTGCCTGCCTCCAGCTTAAATCCAGGCAAAGGGCTGCAACTGCCTGCAGTGTGTCAACACAGCCTAGTTGTTCAGTGAGTCTACAGCACAGAGAGGCTTTCTTGGGTGTTGACTTACCTGATAGTAAGCAGCTCTCTGCAGCTGATCAGTGGCTCTTTCCACATGCACCTCTGAGCTTTCCACATTGGCTTCTATGCTATCTGTAAAAAATACAGTGCACATTTCAGCACATTCAGAAATTTCAATACTGTAAACAAAACAATTCCCTTCTTTTTTTAAAATGTATGCAGGTGTTTTATCTGCATGTATGTCTGTGTGCTGTGTGCATGTCTGGAGCCTGGAAGAGGGCCTGAACCCCTTAGAACTGAACTTACAGATAAGCGTGAGCTGCTGTATAGGTGCTGGGCACAAACCTGAGTCCTCTGGAAGAGCAGCTACTGTTCTTAGCTGCTGCACCATCTCTCCAGCCCCTCGGAACAGATTTGATGCCAAGATCTTAATTTCACTACCACCCAATCATGAAATTAAAATTTACTTCTTTTCATTTAATTTTCTGAGATAGGCTCTCATGTAGCCTAAGCTGGCCTCAACAGTCTCAGCAATATGCCACGCAGCTGGCGCTGGCCTTGAAGTCCTGACCCTCCACCTGAGTGCTGAGGTTACAGGTAACTTGATAAGAGAACATCCCCATTCTTCATGAATACTGAAATATTTAATAGCAAGAGGTTACTAAGAATGTGATTCACCTATACAGGGTTCAACCTGTCTCAAAAAAAAAAAATAAAAGCTTTTAAAAGTTACTAACCCCACTGGGCAGTGGTGGTGCACACATTTAATCCCAGCACTCAGGAGGCAGAGGCAGGCAGATCTTTGTGAGTTTGAGGCCAGCCTGCTCTACAGAGCGAGTTCCAGGACAGGCTCCAAAGTTACAGAGAAACTCTGCCTCAAAAGTTGCTAACCCCATAATCCTTCAAGAGTTTGGAGCTAAAAGCTGGGGTGCTGACAGATCTTTGACCTATACAGTTAACTCTATAAGAAAATGAATTCAGTAACCTTAAAAAAAAAGAGAGAGAGAGATTACTAAATTTTAAGTCCACAGGTGACCCATCTTATTGACCTTTGTACTCACCCCAAGGTTAGAGGTATTAATTAGTACGTACCTATCAGGTCACCTTGGTCATGGATCATCATGGCTAAATCTTTAAATATCTGATTGACATCCAAAATGTCAGCCTAAGGAAGACAAAAAAAAAATTAACTCACATTAAGCAACATGCTAGAAGATTTCTTTCCTTCCCTAAAGATGTGTTTACACCTTTCCCACTAACAGAAAACTCTATTGCTGCTTAATACTGTAGAACAGATGGCATGAGACCCACCCATCAAGCAATATTAATTGCACACGTTACCTGAGAACTAGTAAGATCCTACACTGGATCAAGCCTAAACTGGAGTGTTGAAGTGGACACAATCTCAGTGTGACAGCTCTACGTGGAGCACGCCAATGTCATGACCACTAGGACTTTGGACTAGAGAACTCAAATGGCTTCTATAGGACTGCTGCCTGGGGAACATGTGGAAGACAAACAGTCCAGGAGCTGGTTTCCCCCAGGGATGACGCTGGGTCAATTTTGATAATATAAAGTACACAAAGAGTCAATCCAGCCCTTTTCATACTAATCCAGCAAAAAATCTCCAAACATCTGCAGATGCCCAAGTCAAACAAAAGCCACACCCTGCCTCTTACCTCCAGCTGCCGAATCGCCGTCTCCCTCTCTTTAATAAGTTCCAGGTCTTGTTCAGTGATGGCTGCCTCATCCTCCTGGCTCTGCATCTGGTTCCACTCCTCATGGCTACAGAGAGACAAGTACTCCAGTTGGTTCCTTCTCTCTAAGGCACGAGGAAACATAACTACATCTCTGCTGACAGCAGGACCTAGACAGACATTACCCAGGAGCCAACTCTTCTGCTAGCAATGCAAGATCTCTGAGGGCCATATTTCCTCTCCAGAGACAAGGATGCGATACAAAATAAAATAAAATTGCCACAGAATTATGGAGGACAGGCCTCCTTGCCTTTCCCACTTAGGGGCATTTTTTGCAGTCTTGTTAGGACTTACTAGACGAGGGACGTATCCAGGGGTTTAAACTCGAAGTGCACTGACCCAGCTCTCCAGGACACACCCAGAGCACAAGCTGAGTCCAGGGGCAGTAAATTAATGGAGGAAAAGTGGAGGACAGTGGACTCCGCCATCAAACAGGGTTTCCCAACTCACCTGTGAGGAGCACATCTGGC